TTAGCACGGGAGTGTCGAACGTTAGGTGATTGATGCTTCTGGTGACTGCACGACTTTAGCCGATAGGTTTCTCTGGATTGTATTTTGAGCATCGTCTGAAGCAATAAGAAAACCAGTAGATATTAGTCCTGTTTTCNTTTTTTTATCGGTAATATACTAAGCACTGCAAGCACGGAACTTCAAGGGAGTCAAGAGAGCAAAGTCTAAGTAGTAGTAAATTTGAAAACTATGAAATGTAAATAGGTTGAGGAGTAGTCAAGTCACGATTATCAACCGCTATATCGTTTTCAGCCTGATGGCCCATTCGAATGATATGGCAACGCTAAACGTTTTAGGCATTTTGACGGCTTGTTTTTGCAGAACCGACCAATGTCGAATCCGTTGACCATGAACTGGCTCGAAATGTTAAAGCAACCAAACGATCTCTGTCCTTCTTTTCCACCTATTCTTGGGCTCACTATAGGCGATTTTGTGTTGGTTGTGTGACAGAATATCAGCTGCGTAGTCTTTCACAGTTCTAGGTCTACTATACCTACCGAGTATATCTGAAGAGAAAAGCGGGAACTCCACAGTTTCTACCAACTAATAAGGTACCTTCCTCACAAGGTGGATGGTAAAGACCATGCAACCATAAGTGACTTGCTCCCTTGAGAAAACGCGATTGCGGATGCCGACCAAAGTCCGCATGTTCTTCCGCCAAGCGATCGGAGCCTCAATAAAGTCTATTTTTGAGAATGAGTTAATGTCCGGTGTGACTACTGAAGGGCTCGCCCTAACTCGTGTGACGATGGCATTATTCGAAGACTCTGGATGGTACAAAGTGGACTACGAGTGAGTCGTTCTTCTTAGAGTATTTGATCTTTCATTACTAAACTCTTCTATCCTACCTTAGAAAAATCGTCATTACAGCAAGGCCGAAGATATGGAGTGGGGGAAGAATCTCGGTTGCGCTTTTACCATGAAGAGTTGCTTGACGTGGATGAAGATGAACCCAACAAACCCCTACCCATTTTAGCACGGGAGTGTCGAACGTTAGGTGATTGATGCTTTTAGTGACTGCACGACTTTAGCCGATAGGTTTCTCTGGATTGTATTATAAGCATCGTCTCAAGCAATAAGAAAACCAGTAGATATTAGTCCTGTTTTCATACACAGAGACGCAAGATATGTAGAGTTACGAGTGATTTCAATCAAACTCTAGTGTAGTAGTTCAACTCTATGTTTATATCTGAGCTTTGTACATAAGTTTATAATAGGTTCCTTGTTTTGGAGCATCTGTACATACAGTGATACACCACCCAATGCAAATCTCTTGCTCAATTAATTTCTCCATTCACCGGTCATTTATGAGAGTTAGAACATCGCTATCCTCTACTGATGGTATGATGCTATTTGAATACGGTTTTTTAGGCTCTTGGAATACCGGGCCACTTTACGTTTTGGGAATGGGACTTGCCGTTTACGAGCTAGAACGAATCTTACCAGTGTTTCTTAATAACAGTGCGCGAATGATGGTGATGGGGAAGGAGATATCTAGCCTAATAACTGTTTGGTGTTGAAACTAGTAGCCGAGTGCGCGCTCCAAAAATTTGGTGGTACAAAGTTTCAGCAATGGTTTTTAATGGTGATACTCCACCGTGACTCTAAATTCAGAAATTGTGTGGTACATCCACTCATTGAGCTATTTCTGCTCTGTCATTAAACAAACCCTTGTTGCTTTTTTGTAGGAAAAGAAGGCTTCCACTAGAACTTAAAACCGTAGAAGAAATTCCGCAAAGTTGTAATGCGTGATCAGGATTTGCTTTTGCAGATGTTCTGCTACACGATTAGAGAAGGTTATGTGTAACCTTATTCCGGCAACTGGAGAGGAAATTTTTCACCCAAATTTTTCGCCAGAGTACGAGTACAATTTGGAAGGCCTCTACCATGACCAAGAAGGACACCCGACTTTTGGATATGGAGAAGAATCTGTAATGGATTTCTGTCCCTACTATGGCGTAAGTTATGCTCACAGGTCTGCTGGCAATACTAGTGTCGTTTAGCTACTGGCAACTGACAAAATTTAAGTTTCGGAAACATTTCGAATAAGAAAAGATAGGCATGCTCCATGCTCCATATTGGTCTAGGGAAACTAAGCTTTCCACCCTCCCGGAGTCGGTCAATTGGTGCCAGTCTTGTCTGGGTAAAGAAAAGCGCTGACTTGTACATCGGCTGGACACCGCAATTCATTGCATAGGCCATATACGCATTCAATACGCCACTACGATTCCGAATGGGTGTTGAATGCGTGGGCGCATCCCTTAGACGGGATTGATCAAGTGCTCTATGCTCTATGAAGCCATGTACATGAAAAGCAAGGTATCGTGGACTGAAAAGTGATGAGCTAATTGGGTTACGTTCGGCTCTCGACTAAACTCGAACCCGCACCTTTACTTTTATGCATGCTTCGCTTCACTATCGAGATCAAGCAGCTTGTTACATCCTAACCACAACCGAGAGGTCAGCCCCTCCCATATGGGACAATCGCATCCTTATCTATGATGATAAGCAACTAATAAAAAAGGTTATGTAAAGAAGAATGCTGTTGTGCCCTGTTGCCGAGGACATTTCAGCGACACTGATCAGGTCTCTGCTCATAGTAAAGACGAATGTGCACTCACAGTCCAGAGAGCATCAGAAGCATCGAAAATTGCTACAGTTGTTTGTCGAATACAAGTTCCTCTTTCTCCGAAACGGCCATCAATAGCGCGCTAGTAAGATTTTTCCTTGGCATACCCTCTAACAGATCCTGCTCAGCCGGAAGCACGGCAGGACGTAGGTGGAAAATGGAGGAACCTCACTTTACGATCTGAAATTCAGGACATGGACAAGAAAGAAGACCCACATGGAATATGTACATCTCCTGACATTATGGGCTATGGCACTAATTCACCAGAGGTGAGCCATCACTAATTGTTAACAGTATAAATGAATTGGTTCATCAAAAGCCTCTCATTGAGTCAAAGGTTGAAATTTGGGAGTGAGCCAGTTAAATAAGAAGTGGGAACCATCAGTGTGGGTTCCGGAAAAACATAGCAACGCTCTAAGCTCACTGAACTGTTCAAACAACTTAATCTACTCGTGATGACTTTTGGGAATCCCCTTGTCAACCAGTAACCCGACAGGCAAAGGTGATAACTATTTCTCTATTAGGGTATGTTGTCTGGAAGAACTGTCATGAAATGGTCAAAGCTAACAAATCATCAGAAAAAGTCTGCCGATTGAGTAATTTCTTTACAGGTTTTTCCCCAATCAGCACGCTGCTTTGATGTAGCTATAGGTTGGAAGGTGAATAACACGTCTCAAATTTCACACAGACCCATACTGTTGGTTGTTTCGAGGTGTGTTTTAATTATAATTATAACGGTGAAAAAAAGCACTCAAAATTGCGATAGAGTTAACACCTAATGATCTGATTGTGAAAAGAGAACAAAGTAGACTTTTTGAAAAAAAAAGTTACAGGAGCAAGGGGCGCATGGGCGTGCGGGATAGTAATTTCGACTTTAATTTCATAACTTCTGTTTAACTGGGCATAGAGTGTTGAAATTTGGTAGGAATACAGGAGACAGTATGGGAACACTAACGGCAGATAGCAGGGCCGGACTCCTCCCAGAGGAGGCGGAATGTGCGCGATAGAACTTTTCGACCGCAAATTCTCAGTTCTATATGGTAGACAGAGCGTTGAAATTTGGTAGGATTACAGCTTTTCGTATTGAAAGTAGAACCTCGGCATCTTAAAAGGTAATGTAGGATATGACGGGATCGTAGGTACTCGGTGACAGCAACCGGTAATAACTGATAAGAGAAAATATGGGATCTTACTGGTTAGAGCACAAGAGTCAACTAACGATCTGAATCCCAGTCCTTCGGGGCTTTGAGTGTTCAGTATTTCACATTTGTTAGACGGGATGGTAGAGTAGGGTAGTAAAAATGAGTGGTAAGTGCAGTGATAGGGACCCTTTAGCAGCGCTACGATGAACAGATGAAAATTTTGTTCATTTCTTGCTGTTAGATTACGACCGATACCCAGCAGACCCAGCAAGCTTTGTTACTCAATGAGGGATCTTCTTTGCTCAATATCATTTGCGACATAACTTTACCGATCGCCTTAAACTGGAACCCTCAAACAATGATATCTCCAAAAAAAGAGGTTTTTTGGTAGCGACCTCTGATAATGGTGTTACCATCAAAGGTGTGAGATGATTGATTGATTCGAAACATTTGTGAATACTGCTCAAATCTTTGATTGCTTAATAGTTGAGTCCTTAATGGGTAATGGGTACTTATTTTTGAGAACGACAGCAAAAGATCGAGACTTCCAGTGGAAGACGTAAGCACCGATTTACGCTGAATGCCATTTGCACTACTCTGCTAGTCTTGTCAAACTTCGTGTACAGGGAATACTACAACTTTGTCGAAGATGGATTGAAGCTCGGCGTCAGCCTGGCGACTCAATAAGCTGTTTTGAAAACTGCGTTCACAGCGGATTTCTTTCGATGAAATAGGTTTAGCTGGAAGGCATGAAAGACCCTCGACTGTGCGCGCCGCGCTTATCTGATCTTGTAGAAGCGTAGGTCTGGTCAAGTTCCTTTTCGAGCGAATTGGCAACGAAAATCAGTCCTTCGATATCTGCGTTGAGCTTTTCATGCCCATTGCTTTTATTCGTATCTAACAAGGCGTATACACGAGTTAGCTCGTCGCAGTACAGAGACGTTAGCATGCGGGCAGTGAAGTGCAATTGAAAGACAAGGTTGGAGCTTAGATTTCTCAAACAACGTGATTGCTTTGAATGCGCAACAAATTTTTGTTCATAAATACATAGATCTATTGTATCCATCCCTGATAGGCGGATCCTAAATCAAATTTCTTCATCGTTGTGCAGTGATTGACGGATTGGGTTTTCTTTTTCGAGATGCAAACTTCTCCAGAATGGTCCTGGTAGAAATTTCGTTCAGCCAACCGGCTATTTTCTCCGATGGGAATCGGTCTAGTGATATTGATTTAGAATGGGATTCTAACGGGATCGAGGGAATTTCATTTTTTTATTCAGTGAAAGTGACAAAATTCTCCTTTGATAACTCATAATGCCCGTTGTGAAAGATAATCATTCGTTTTAGAGCATATGCGAAAAGAACCTCGTCATGGTTAGAACACGAAATTCGGAGTTTTATCCATGTTACCGAAAGGGACAGATAATTCACCTGAAAGAGGTAATGGGACATCTTTATCATTGTGTCTTAATCGATGACTATTTTGGTGATGGTACCCGGCACGGTCAAGGGACATCTTTTCGTAAATCCATTTTGGACTGGGTCTAACAGATTACCTACTGGAGAAACCGAAAGCTTTTGACCCTCAGAACTTCACTGTTAACCACGCCTAACGAAAAGACTACTATATGAAAAGCAAGAGGCAAATCGCAGACGATGCTGATTCACTGAGATCTAAATTTCCGTTTTCCGCCAAGTCCCAAGTTGGTGATGGCACAATTGAGCTCAAGATCGCTTGCCCATCTTGCTCAGAACTCTGCGGCTCTCAGTTTTGTTCACAAGACAGTATCGTGAAAAAGCAGCTCGATGGTTCGACCACAAATATCAATGGTCCCAAGGTTCAGCTCGTTGAAGTGATACTATTGATAGTATCTTTATACAATTTGTGATGTGGCGTATAGTAGAATTAATTCGAAGCATCTTTTTGTCCTCATTCTAATTTTTTAAATAATTAACAGCTGAAATACTTATATCAAATACTTTGATTGTGTTTCAGCGTGCCCTTACTTTTGTATTTTGATTGTAGGTACTCTGTATAGTGATTGATAGCCCAAGTGAACGTACTATTTCTGTTGTATACTACTCAATAAAATGAATATATAAGATGTATTTAATGCAGCAAACAGTTTCACAAAAGCAAATTGACTTTCTTTGAGAGTAGCGAACATTTCTTAGCTCAGGACTGGAAAGGAGCCTATAAGGTTTT